GATTAACATAGAATATTTTCCCACTGTACCTAGTTAATTTATGCTTAACTATGTATTATTTAGTTGTTTGTACTTACTGGCTGCTATTAGAAAATTAAAAATATTTTAGAGTAAATATATAAATCTTTGAATTAGTAATTTTGTGTAAATGATATTTGAATGCAGAGAAAGTTTAAATTCAATTCAAAGATTTATGACAATGTTTCCTTCACACGTAAGTACTATTTTTAAGTTTGGTATTTGTAAATCAGGTACAGCTTGTATTTCTACTGTATGGAATACCTCTGATTTCATGTTTTAGAGTATTTAGGTTGCATGTTAGACCTGTACTATTAAAGTATTGAATGATTTAAAGGTTATTTGCTCTTTATAAACACACACATACTAGTCTGACCTTACCTAACAAACATTTTTTCGTTTGACTTCCTGAAATTTAATGATGTTTAACACCAGTAATCTAGTTTTATTTTTGATAGTTTTCATTAAGGGAGATTAAAAAAAACACAAAAGACATCATATTATGGTTTAGTTTGAAATGGTTCTTTACGGAAGGTTATCAAGACACTGTCAAATAAGAGATTTACTTTGCATACAGTTTGTATATGTGCGTGTGATTTTATTTAAAGTGAAATTCAAAACTTTCATACCAGTTTATACTTCCTTGAGCAGAATGCTATTGTACTATGAATTTATGTATTTAGTAACTAATAAAAAAGCTTTGCATAAATTTTGCTCAAAAAGATGACCTAAAAGGATCGTAGTTGACTTAGTTTATTATTAATTGTGTTTCATTTTATAGAGGGCCATTGAGCCAAGCCAGACTGTATGCCATTGCTGCTGAAAGAAAAAATTATCTTCAAGAGGAGTCCACCTCTCAGAGGAGGAATGCCAGTCAATTTGATTGGGCTCTGACGAGACTAGATAATTCTGTCCGAAGAACTGGCCGCATCCCAAAGACTCTTCTACAAAAAGTCTTTGATAACACCTGTGACTCGGGTATTTCAAAATTTTCTGTTCAAAAAGTTGAAACTTCTTAATAAATACTTGTTTGGGGGCAAGCTCGTTGTAGAGCACATTATTTGATGCTTTTAATTTTGTTTGTTATTTTTATTGATCATCATGGTTTTATGTTATTGTTGTGATCTTTCTTGTCTTTCCGACCCATCAGGGCAAAGTTTTAAGTAAAACATTTTGTTTCAGGTGTTTATTTCAAAATCAAATAAAAATCTCCCTTTTGCTTTTTACGGTTTATAAGTGATTTTCAGTGGTAAATTTTCTTGGAAGATACTGGTTTTTCTTATCTTTCATCATATAGTAGCAGCTTTCCATAAGATGACCATAAGTGACGGATTCCTGGGAACACAGATAATCATTTCCCTTTTATTATAGCCCTTTTATTTTCACTTAGCTGTTAAAATCTGAGTCACTTATGAAACTTTGATAATCTGGTGAAAGCCTACAGGCCCTGTACTCCACTCCCCCTGCCCCCGAAAAAAAGCCCACATGCAAACACATGCAATAGTTTGAGAGCATTTACCAGCTTCCTAAAGCCCATCCATGGATTTCAGTCACTTTAATGTGACTGAATAAGCTATAGATTCTAATGATGAGGGATACCAAAAAAGTGTCAGTTATAATTAATGTGCATTTAAATACTGTTTTTCATTTTCTCTTTCATTAATTCGAAGTTGTACAGCTATCACCACAATCAATTTCAGAACAGCTCTTTTACCCCCAAAAGAAACCTTCATACTCCCATCAGCCCCCAAACTCTCCCATCCCTTCCAGCCCTAAGCAACTGCTAGTGTACTTTCTGTCCATTATAGATATGCTTATTCTGGATACTTCATATAAATGGAATCATACAATAAGCGGCTCGCTTTTGTTTTTGTTTTAAAATCAGCTTTCAGGGACATGTAGATAAAGGACATGGATAAAGGGTGAAGGAAGTTTATATTTTTTGTAATTATTTCTAAACTGAAAATTGATATTCATGGGTTTTAATTGTGCTGCTTCGTACTATTTCATAAGATACCGAGAAGCTTAGCCTTTGAATTGCAGTAAGCACTGCTTATAAATTAGGTTCTTTGTATTTTTGTATTCTATGGTCTTGTAGATTATATAGATTCATAACTTTGCATGCCTTAATAAAGCAGACTAATTTTTAAAAACTTATAATTTTTAGTAACATTATAAATTGTACTTGTGGATTAGGATAGGATTTTTCCAGTTTATAGGTATTCTCTTAATGTTATTTTTAGGGAGGCAAGAGATTTTTGAATATTAACAGAATTCAGTTTAAGTTTTGATAGTTAGCTATATGATATCAGTACTATGTTAAATGTAACCATTAACCTTTTTTCATAGGTTGCCCAGGTGGTAATCAAGCCTTACTTCTGCTGCGCAGCTGTGGTTCTCTCTTGCCTGAGCTAAAGGTCTCAGAGAGAACAGAATTGGCTCATAGAATATGGGACAAACTTCAGAAATTGGGTATGACTGTTTAAATATGTGATGTATATAAAAGGTGTAAATTTTGTATCCTGTAGTAAAAGAGAATTTCTTTATATTAATGCTGTAATTCAATTTTATGGAGGGGCTACTTGATTCATAATTTTTTTGTAATATTTATTTGGTGAGTTATAGTGACATCTAGGGGCATTAAGAATTAAATAATTTTTCATAAGAATTATTACTTTTATGGTAAGCTAAAAAGCAAAGAACAAACTAAAAAGGCTTTTGGCCTGTCAGTTATAAATGCACATACCATTTCACCAGGTAGTTCCATTTGTTAGAATTTAGATCCAGATATACCTCATTCGCAGAAGGATATTCTTCATTGTAGCTTGTTTATAATAGTAAGAAATTGGAACCAGCTTTGATGTCCCTTACTTGAGGATTGGTTAAATAAATGAAAGTATTCATAAAATAGAATACTCTCCAGCTGTTAAAAAAATAAAGGAGTTCTTCATGTACTAATGTAGAGTATTCTCCAAAATGTAAATAAAAATTAAGGTACAGAGCAGTGTGTACAGTATGCTATCATTTTAAAGAAAAATGTTTATGTGTAGACAATGTTAAAATATTTCTGGAAGAATGATAAACTAGATACAATTTTTACTCTATAGCTTTTTATACTTTTTCAGTTTTGAACTATGAACATAGTACCTATTCAAAAAATAAAATAGTTTAAAAGATCATTTGATAAAATCTGATGTCCATTCCTATTTAAGATTTTAATAAATCTTAACCACCTAGGAAGACCAGGTGCTGTAGGCGTTAAAAAAAAAAGAAAGATTTTAATAAATCTTAGATGGATGCTTCTTTGACATATTAAAATCTCACGCCAACAACTAATAAATATCATTTATCATGCCAATGAAATAAGATATGAAACAATACTAGAAATTATTATTTTCAGGTGATGTGCGTTTTACCTGTAAAATCCCAGAAAATCAACTTACAGTAAAGTAGTTAGAAATATAAAATGATAAAAATCCATAACTTAAATAATATTTAGAATAAAGACATTTTTAAAACATTTTAAAAAACAGAGATGAACTAAATATTCCAGAATGGAAAAGGGTTTTCTAAGTGTAAAAGCAACAGAAAAGTGAAGATAAAGAATTGACTCTATAAAAACTAGAAATGTCTGTATGTCACATAATTTAAAAAAAATATCAAACTGGCAGAAACGTGTGAAAAAGGTTATATTCTAAAATACAAAGAAGCCCTGACATAGCAGTCATAATGTTAACATCTCAATAGAAAGATAGACACTTAATACTTTCTATTATATTTTCTCACAAACATGTCTGTCTTCCATATCCTACTTGATAGTAGAATCCATAACATCTTTGTTTGCCAGTAGCATGATGCTTTGTACATATTACACTTGATGAATACTTGTTGAGTTAATATTGTCAGAAGCCTAGTATATTGCCAGTGTGACTCTTGTTCACAATCTTGTAAAGCAGTAAAAGATATTTTAGCTTAGGTAATGTGTCCAGAGTTACAGAATGAGCTATTGACAGATCTGAGACTGGAACTGAGATTTCCAAACTGAAAGGACTTCTGGAGGAAATGCTGGAAATGATAGAACCTCATTTCAATGTTGCCATGTGCTAAATTTTAAAAAATAGAATTACTTCTGGTGTACCTTCTTGGCCACACCATGATAATATATGTCTCCTTAACTTTTTGTTTGTTCAAGTTGTTCACCTTTTCTCAAATGGTCTTTATTTCTTACTTTTTAAATCAGTCCATTTTTCAAGCTAAGGTTTAAGTCTCTCCATTCTAGAGTTTTATCTCCAGTCCAAGTTAGAAATGACCTATGAAATTAACTAGACATAATAATAAACATGGGAATAAAAATTTTACTGAGTTCATAGAAACATTTTTGTCATCCATAGCACTATTCCAATGTGAGAGAAATACATGAAACAGCAGAGTTATATTGAATATTGATCTTGACTCAAATCTATGAAAACCTAGAATATATGTTACTTATCTGGGTTTTGAACAGTTTCCTCAGCTTCTCCAACAAACCAGAGTGAATGTTTTTACAAAATTATAAAATATACTATCCTTCAGCCATAGAGCTATTGTTGGCCATTAGTAGAGTCTTCAGCTTGACTTGATGATTTTTCTACAAGTTTTTAGACATTATATGGTAACATTTTGCATAATCATATTGCAGATGCTGAATTGCACGTGGTTCTCTATGAGGCCCTATATAAAGAATTATGGTGGTTAAGAGATTGGGCTCTCAAGGCAGATCACATGCATTCAAATTTATGGTCACTTACTAACCATGTGGTGTTGGACAAGTAAAAGTCAGTTTTCTTCATCTTTCTTCATATGATAATAGTACTTGCCTTGAAGCTTTTATGAAGAGTAACTGAGTCTCTATATGCAGAGCACCTAGCACAGTGCCTGAGACATAGTAAGCCCTCTACATATCTACTAAGATTAAAACATATTAATTTAATAGAACTAGTCTCTGCTGGCTTGAATCTCAAACTGATAACCAACCAGATACTGACCATAGGCCTGTGTGGCCACAGGCAGATGAATATAGATACGAAATTTATAAAAACTTAGTAAAACATGTTAGCACTAGATTAATATAACCATGATATCATGAGTAGATATAGTAAGGCTGAATGATAACCTTAATTGATGTGGCCTTACACAAGATAGACACAGAAAACAAAGGGCATTGGAATACAGATAACTAATAGTAGCAGAGTAGAATTGGTGTTCAGCAACTGGGGATGGAGTGGAAGGAGAGCCTTCAAGCAAAGGCTTTGAAGGCCTGGTTAGTAAATAAGCAAAACTGCCAGCACAGTCTTACCTGTGTAAAACAACTGATCCATCTGTCCCAATGTGTCAGTAATGTGGCAAGGACTACTAATATAGAAAAATCTTTTAGTCACTTTAAATACAGGGATATTGTCAGCATTTTGTAACAGGAAGGGAGTACTATACTTCATAAGTAAGAGACTTCTTAATATCTTACTAGGCAGATGCTTATAACTGTACAGTAATTCAGTAATTACTGGCTTACATGTTTAACTTGCTCTGTTCTGATAGGATTTCTACATAGAAGGATCTAAGTATGGGGTGAAATACTGAAATGATCATTTTACTCTTTAAGTGTACATGTTGTGATAAAAGGATATGATTTTAAGTACTTTTCTAAAAATTTGATTTAAATTTTATTTGTAGGTACCACGTATGATGTAAGTCACTATAATGCTTTACTTAAAGTCTACCTTCAAAATGAATATAAATTTTCACCAACTGACTTCTTGGCAAAAATGGAGGAAGCAAACATTCAACCAAACCGAGTAGGTAGTTGCTGTTGTAAATGTTTATTGGTCACATCCGCTGTTTTTTTTTTTTTTCCCAGAAAAAATATTAAAAAATATTAACTGGCTCATTTTATTGATAGGTGACTTACCAAAGGTTGATTGCCGCTTATTGTAACATGGGAGACATTGAAGGAGCCAGGTATGAAGCTCCGTAAACATATATTTAAGCAAACAAATTTAAAAGTCTTGTAAACCTGGAATATATTCACTCTTCTTATTTTTTTTAAGTTTCTTCTTGGTAGGGAAATTATTTCAGAAGTATTTTAATCTAGCACATTTGGTAATATGATTTAGGTAAAATATAAAAATTGTGTAAGAGGGGAAAGATAAGTGAAAATTGCTGTCTTAATTAAAAACTTGATTTACTGGAGCAGTGGTTTAAAATTGTTGAGGTATAAAGCTGGCTTTACTTTTTAATTGACATTTCCTAAAAGAAATGTTCTTAGCCATTTAAACTATATTTATTTATAAAACACAATATCTTTATGTCGCTGATTCATATAAAATCAGTTGTGACATTTCTCTGCTTGTGTAAAATTTATTACTACTTTGGGATAGAGGCTTAGAAAGTAAGGGATAAATTACAATGTACAATCTCATTTTTAACTAAATGAGTCTTATTAAATCCGTGCTTTTTAAAGGTTAGTAGTATAGAAGAAACAGTCAGATTTTAAAAAATTATCTGCTATTTTTAACAAGAGTACTTCAAGACAATTAGTATAATTTCAGGGAATGTTTTTTGTGTGTACGTGTTGTAAAAAGTGTTTTCGATGTTTATTTCTAAGGAATATTTTCATTTCTTTTTTATTGCAGCAAGATTCTTGGATTTATGAAAACTAAGGATCTTCCAGTCACAGAGGCAGTATTCAGTGCCCTTGTTACAGGGCATGCAAGATCTGGGTAAAGTTCAACCTAAGGTTTTATTCTCAAGTTAGATTTAAATTATAGAAAATTATTGTAGAAAATTCTTAAGCTGTGTTTATCTACCCCTTCAAAAAAAAAAAAAAAAATCAGTGCGTGAGGTAGAACATGCACAATTTAAAAATATCTGTTTCATAAAACTTTTATTTAAAATTTTTCACTTTAAAAAATTGGACCTGATTCAAAGTAGCTAACTTTGTAAAGTTTATTAACTGATCTGCTGGTGCCCTGGAGAATATTTTCATTTTTTAAGAACAATTTACTAATTGTTATTCTTCCCTAAAAAGCTAAATATGAGTCATAACATACTTAAAGAGTACATGCTAATGTCTGTGTAATTATTACACAATTTAGTTTCTATTTTGTAAAAGTTATCTGTGAAAATTTGAGATGTTTACGATCTTTATTATTTCAGAAACCTATAACCAGTTTAATATATATTTATCCTTTTCTGATGTTAGCTTGTTTCTAGATGACACTTCAGAATTTTTAATCTTATTAAGCATAGGTAATACATTTTAGATTAAATGAAAATATTACATTTGGCAGTATTATAGTAACCTGTTTTATTTTCTTTTAATTAACTTACAGAGATATGGAGAATGCAGAGAATATTCTCACCGTGATGAAAGAGGCCGGAATTGAGCCTGGTCCAGACACATACCTAGCCTTATTAAATGCATATGCTGAGAAGGGTGACATTGACCATGTTAAGCAGGTATGACTTACACCATGTAAATAAATATACTTTAAAGTCATTTGTATAAACGTACATTACTTTTTTCATGAAGCAGAAAAGTAAAGTTTATGTCTGTTTTTAAAGATATCTCTTGTAGACAAGAGATACCTACGTGATTGTGGCTATTTTACTTTTCTTATAGACAATAGTATTGAAGGAGAATTCCTACAGTTAGGTACCTTGGTGTTAATATAACAGTTATTGTTGAAACAGGATATTTCTGTTTTGTAAAAGAAGTCCCAAATCTTTAGATGCTGTATGTTCCTAATTTTTAAAATCTTGGTATTTTAATTTATTTAGCTTTAGTTAAAGAATACTGGTTTCTAACTTGTTCTAATTTTTGGAACTGTCTATAGACTCTGGAGAAGGTGGAGAAGTCTGATCTTTACCTTATGGACCGTGATTTGTTGCAAATTATCTTTAGCTTCAGTAAAGCTGGATATCCTCAATATGTCTCAGAAATTTTGGAAAAAATTGCATATGAAAGAAGATATATTCCAGGTAGATTTTAAAAGTTTACTTTCATGATTTTTCTAAAAATCTGAATTACTGTTCTTACATGATGGAAAGGGCATTCTTTAACAATAGGGAATTGTAGTAGATGAACAAAGGACTCAAAGTCAGCTTAATAAACTTAATGATTTGCAAGTGTTTCATTATTCAGGCAGATATATCCTTTTGGTGTTTGTAGGTCATAAGTTTGTCTTTCATATTGGCCGCAGTGTAAAAATAATGTTCCATTCAGTAACAAAAGACATCTTTGTTTTTCTTCCCAGATGCAATGAACCTCATTTTGCTTTTAGTCACTGAAAAGTTGGAAGATACAGCATTGCAAGTTCTATTAGCATGTCCTATATCAAGGGAAGATGGTCTGAGTGACTTTGGCAGTTTCTTTTTACGGCACTGTGTGACTATGAATACGGTATTCTGTCCATTATTACCTGTAGACAGTGTAATAGGCAGTGAAATAAGATTTTTAAAAAATATAAGAATCTATTATGAGATTAGACCAATCACAAATATTATGGAAACTTTGTTTTCACATTATAAGATTATTGAGTAGAAAGGGGATGAGAAGTTCAAATTTTTCATCCCCAAAGTGTTAGAATATTTGCAGAATATCAAATGGTAAGATATTTGTAGATCCAACTGATGTGTGCCGTTTTTTCCCCTAGCCTGAAGAGAAGCTGAAAGACTACTGTAAGAAGCTAAAGGAAGCCCAGATGCACACGGCGCCTTTGCAGTTCACACTCCAGTGTGCTTTAGTAGCCAATAAAGCCGGTACTATATTCTTATAATTTAAACCAAACTAAATAAGTTTTTCTGAGGTAGCTTTGTAATATTTTATGGTATCTCTTTCAGATTTGGCAAAAGCTCTAATGAAGGCTCTGAAGGAAGAAGGTTTTCCTGTCAGAACTCATTATTTCTGGCCATTGCTGGTTGGACATCAGAAGAAGAAAAATGTTCAAGGTTAGGTTTTGCCTTTTACAGATTTGTGATGGTTCAGAGATCCATTGTAATAGTTTCTACACACATCTAATTGAATTCTTTGGGAAAGCATACTTACTCCTGAGTATTTGATCTTCTTTGAAAATAGAATTGATTTAAATCATAGTAAAATATTAAGGATTTTATAAAACAAATGTAATAGATTTCTTTCATCTTAATTAACATTTCATTTCTTAATTCATCTCTGATCTGGATATTCAAACTTGTGAGTATAATTTTAAATAGTTCATTATTTTTAAGATTTTCTAAAACTAGTTCTTGGTTTTATGTATAGGGTTAGAAGTTAGTTTGTCTAGCCTTATTAAAAATAAAGTTATATGTAATCAGGACATTTTCTTTGTGGACCAGTCTATTTCTTCTTAACTGAGCTGAGTTACAATAATAGGAAAGAAAAGAAAACTTTTATTGCGAAATGAGTACTCATGACCTGACAGCCTGCTGATTGAAGGACAGAAATGTTCAATCTTTCAGATTCTTAAGTACGTTTAAGCGTTTAACATACTTTTCTTTGTACACATGGGATGTCTATAGGATATGAATAAGAATTGAACAAATATTAAATTTTAGAGTACAGTATCTAATTCTTTGGTTTGCATTATTGGTAATTCAGAAAGAGTAGTATCATAAAAAGATGCTTTTAACAGAAGTACTTCCCCCATGGGGAAACAAAAAATGGTCTTTTTCATTTTATCTCGCAGTATAATGTGCTTTAGAATGAGATGCAGAGTTGTTAGTATGACACTGGGTGACAAACAAAATGCACAAACAACAAAAAAAGTGCTTTTAGCAGACTTTCATATTGCAATTTTATTTTAAATATATAGCTGTCTTATGCTTTGAAGGAAATAGTGAAACAAGTATTCCCTAATTGTTTCTGGCTATAAAAGTCTCTAAATCCTTTTTAGAAAATCTTTAGAAAACAATATGCTAGTTGATTAACTCTTTGCATAGCTTCCAGTTCTGAAAGCTCCAAGAAGTAACCTTTAACCCAGTATTTTTGAACCACAGAAAGTTTCTATCATTCCATGAAAATTCGAGGGCATATTAGTATTGTCCACCTTTACATAGATGTGAAAATGTATACCCCTGTTGAAATGTTTGTTTATCAAGTAAATTTGCTTTCTTCAACCTTAGCACTCTATCTAGACTTGAATCGGATACCACATTTTTACTACTTAGTACACATAAAAGAATTCAGGGAATTTCTTTCTATAGTTGTAGCTCAAAATAGTAGAAAAGTGAGCTTTATCTTCAATCTGTCTTTTCTTAGAATCTTAGAATTTAGATTTCAAAGGTCCCTTGTTGAAAGCTCACATTATATTGATGAAGGAACTGAGAGCTGCAGAAAGATTCAGTGACTTACCTTAAGTTACACATCTAGCTGTCTGTAGTGCTCGGACTAGAATTGAGAATTTTTGTCTTTCTATTTTAAATGCTCTTTTTAAATACCATAACACCTCTATATTCGACATCTGTATGCTGAATTTATTTTATGAAAATTCTTAGCTATTGGTTAAAAATTGGGTACTGATTTTTATATTAAGGACATTTTTTAAAGTATTACCAAGTTTTTAAATCAGTGGTCTTTTTTTTTTTTTAATTTTTATTTTCCAGTTACAGTTGACATGCAATATATTAGTTTCAGGTGTACAACATAATGATTAGACATTTATATACCTTATGAAGTGATCACCTGATAAGTCTGGTAGCCATCTGACATCATACATAGTTATTACAATATTATTGATTGTATAATCTTCCTTCATGTAACAGGGAAATGGCTGTTATGTATTAAATATCGTTTCTTTGGTGTAAGGTAAGAAAGCAACATTCTTATTAGTGCAATGAATTTGTACTTTATCCATGGAAAGTCCTTTATAAACTAGTAGAAATACCACAAGAAAATATTGGCTGCAGACCTGAAGGATGTAGAGGAATGTTTCCTATGGAATAAATAAAACCCTTCAGGATATCAAAGAAAGATATCTAGGGGTCAGTTCAAACTGAACCAGAGTTTTCAGTAATGATGATCAGATTTTTATTGAATTCTAGAATTTTTCTGGCTGCAAATTTATCCATCACCAATCCCTAAGAAAAACTCTTATAATGACTTCCTCATGACTCATCTACTAGTATTTTTCTGTGGCATAAATGAAAAAAATTACCACTTAGAATTTTAGCAAGTTGGCCTGAATTAGAGGAAATAACCCAGAATGACTAACAATCTCTTGGTATATTTAGAAAACATAAAAATTAGAATAAAGAAAAGGTAAAATATGTAAGGGAGAGCTGATATGAAAGCATAAATGTCAGTTAAGTGAAGTGTTTGATTAGAGGGTACTTTTCAAAAAGTAAGAAGTTGCCTCCTAATAAAGTGAGTGCTCTGGTTAAAATCTGAAATCGTGGAATAAATAAATGGTCATAGTTGGTGTAAGTTGCTCAGGTAAACCATATACATATTTCTCAAAAGTTTGAACTATTTTAATTCTTATAAAACTTTTTGAATGGAGACTTTCCTCTTGATTCACAAACTTTCTCATGACTACATTTAAAATACTCGTATTAGATTGTGTATTTAGTTCAGATTTTTTTAAGTTCACAGAGGTTTGGGTTCCATGCTATCTATGTTAATATATGATTATTTTAATCTTTTTTGAAAATATGAATTGTATTTTTTAGAGGGATGTATGTAGTTATGTCAGATTAATCACTTTTTTCTCCTTATTGATAAGTGTTTCTCTCTTTCCATCTGACTACAGTTGTTGAAGTGAATATCTTTTTTATGCTTCCTCAGAATGCCTGCGGGAGTGACTGAACTTACCTAGGTGAAGGTGTGAATCCAGGTTTTCTTAAACCTGCTTCAGTTTCAGTTAGAAAAATACATAAGTTAAAAATGCTGGTTACACACGTCATCTAGGTAAACAGAGTGAACTCCTCCCCCTGAAAAACATTATTGGAAAAATGAAGAAGTAGGAGAATAAAAAGTATTTGAGGCATAGATGATTGAGTGAAGTATTTTGTACAATAATAAGAATTATCAATTTTTGGCCTATTTTCAAACATTAGAAAATCAGATATCTAGTTACCTTATGCTACATTTAGTCTACATATCATTTAAGGAAAATTTTTGAATTGTTAGAGTATTTTAAGACAGGTTAAAAAATTAAATTATTATTGCTAATATTAAATTTATTTAATATTTTAGAGTTTCGCACATATTTTTTTCTTTAATTTTATTGACTACCCTGAGAGGTAAGTGGGGAGCGTTATTATCATTTCTATATTACAGAATTTTACTTATTTCCCAGTTCTGTTTCTTTTCTCCTTTTTCTTTTAGTCAAACAAAATGCTGAGTACTTTTCCTTCATTATGGTTCAGAAAGTAAATGAACTAAACTTTCTGATCTTTTGTTAATTTATTTCAGGTTTGTCATCTCTTCTAAATTTTATCTTACAGGTATAGTCGAAGTCCTCAAAGGAATGCATGAAATGGGAGTAAATCCTGATCAAGAAACATACGTAAATTATGTGTTTCCATCGTTTGATAGTGTAACGTCAGTTCGTGCTATTTTGCAGGTGAGCATAAGTATGGTTTTAATTTCATAATTGAAGAGAATATCTTTCCTCCCTAATGTTTTGTGGTCACCAAAAAAAGAAAAAGTCATTAAGCTGAGCATTAAAAATGATCGTGTCTGTATACAATTTCAAAAGCTTTGTAAAAATACTGGTTAGTGTAACATCTGTAGTGGTTAAACTTGAAACTTTAAAGAAGTAAAGCAGCATTTTTCTTGTGTGTTGAAAGACAATATGTCAGTATCAAAAAAAAAATTAAATAACACAATATTTGCTCCTGAATCCTACTCTACAATGCAACTTTAATTTTCATCTTTTGAATATTACTTTGTACTTTTCTATGAATTTTCATAATACACTCATAGCTTATTTGTTATTTTTTTAAAAAATCATCTTTAGTTTGACTCCAAAGCATTATTTTCCTACCCAGTACTTCCTGTCCTCATGAGAACAGGAAAGGTCTTTATGAAGGAGAATATGATGAAATTGACTTAGTGTGTTAGATCAGCAAGGATTGCACTTTCTATTTTCAAAAGAAACTGCTATACAATTTGGAACAACATGGCAGAGCACCAAATACTTTAATAAGAAATATTTCATTCAAAGATCTGTTTCCTAGATGGTTATTCACCTAATGCCTTGATTTTTCTAATATTAGAGTGTTCTTTTCTTTCTTTGAAATAATTACATAATTACAGCCCTCTGAAAGATAGAGTTTGTCTTAAGTGTCTGTACCTCTCTTCCCCAAGTACTTAACAGAATATTCTGAGCCCGTGCTGTATATATTTTACTGTTAAAATATATATTAAAAAAATAGTTCCCCTAAATCCTTATTTCCCTAAATCCTTTTTTCACTTGGCACCTTTCCATTACAGTGTATAAATCCACCAATTATTTTTTATGCTTGCATGCTGTTTTATTGTATGGATATACCATAATTTATTTTTATTTATTGCTTATTATTGATTAGGTGGTTTTTAATATGGTGCTGTTATACAGTGACTCAAATGTATTCGAGCTCATTTTTGGCTTATGTACTTAAATTATTAAAAATGGTGATGTTGGGACAAGTGATTAACCATTCGGAAATAAATTAAATTTTATTTTTACCTCACCGTATACCCCAAAAGATCATTTTGATCAATACATGAATTTTTGTATTGTTTTAAATCAGAGAATTGTCCTAGTGTCTTTAGTAGTAAATTCTTCCTAGAAGACACTGTACAGGTAACAGGTTATCTGAACTTGAAGAGAGGCATTTACTTTGGAATGTTGGGACTCCATCTCATAGTTTTTGCTAAAGTTCAATTATTCAGTTTAGGTATTGTTCTAGAAAATGATTCTTTAAATGAAGGATTATCAGAGAAAATGGTCATATAAAGAAATGGAAAAACAGGAAGTTTGGCATATCATAATGTTTTTAGTTGAGGCATATTATCATTGAAATGTGCTTTATCCCTAGGAAAATGGATGTCTACCTGAAAGTAATGTATTTTCTCAAGCTGAATTGAGAAGTGAAGCAGTAAATGGGAACTTAGACTATGTTTTGTCATTTTGTAAGTACTCAGCATTAGCAGTAAATTTGATAGGTGTTAATTTCAGTTACTGTTGAAAGCATGCAGGGTACGTTATGCCTTCAGTGTATATTTTAAATCAGTCAGACTAATAAGCTGTTTATGAGTTGAACTTGTAGATAATTTGGAAATGATTTTAAAGTTAAAAGGATCTCGAGGATAACATGGTTGGTAGGTTAGACTGGGGACCTGGAAGAGTTGGGTTTTGTTTGTAATTAAGCCACTGATTATGGGATGTAGACAAGTCTCTTTACCTTTTTTTGATCCAGTTTCATGAAATGGGGTAGTATTACCTATCTACCTATGTAGTGAGAGTTGTGAAAATCATGAGATATTGTTTCTTAAAGTGTTTTTTAAAGTGTTTTTAAACTAACTCCTATTATAGCCATAATTACATGAAGCCATCTCCCGGTTTTCATTGACAAAAAACAGCAAATGTTTACTAAACACTTATAAATGCTAAGGTGCTTTACAGTGGTCATCACATACATGTTGATAGATGAAGAAAAAAGCATAGGGAAGTTAACTGATTTGCCCAAAGTTAGTGACTGAGCCAGAACCAAGATCTGACTTTAACCTTATTATTTTCACCACACTATATTTTAATAAATAAGACATTTCTTAAAGTCTTCTTTTTTAAACTTGAGTTTTTCAGATCTTGTGAAAAAAAATGTTTAGAAACAGAACACACAAACTTTAATTTCTAATATAAAATGTTTAAAGTTAAGCTCTGAATAATGTATATTCAAGCTGTATAGGTGGAAGCTTTGTAAAAACCAAATTATTGAGATAATCTGTGTAAATGTTTAAAATAGTTCATAATATTGTAAAGGAAAAGCAAAGTGTTTAGTATGAAAATGGTGATGGTTAGTGGTATAGCTGTTTGCATTGAAGTTTGGGTATTAATGCTGGCTGCTATCTGTATTGATTTTGCTTTCCACTCTATATATTTTTCATACTGACAAGATGAAAACAGAGAAGCATTAGCAGAGGAATCTGAGCACATAAGGTGCATTTCTCTTTATCATACCACCTATTTCACTTCATTGTCAACCTCTTGATTTTTCAGACTTGTTTGTTGCTAAGGAAACTAGATGTTTTTTTTCAGCAACCTTCAGCCTGCTGGGATGTTTCTGGTCACCTTTTTAATGAATAGAAACTTGACAATATTCTGTAAAAGACTAATTTGAATAGTATAAAAATAAATTTTCAAGAGATTGTTTATTAAATTTGAAAAAGAAAAATTTCAGGAACTTTGATGTCCCTCCTTTTATTTCCAGGTCTTTGGAGAGCAGTTAGTTCTATAATTGCTGGTATTCACTGTTAGGCAGGTCACAGGCATGCATTTTTGGTTACCACATCACAAAGGATGGTAGGTAGGAGAGAAGAGTAAATAAATGGCTTATCTTGATGGAGTTTGTAGAGTAGTAGGAAGCATTTTCCCACATGTGTTTGTAGGCATGGAAAATTAATTTGGTTAAGCAAAGTTAAAGGTTGCTGAAAGGCATGTAAGTTATGTCTAATTCTGAGTGACTAAAAGGCAGGTCATTTTAAAAATGATTTTTAGTTTTTCAATGCCGTGTAAAACCACTGAGAAACTCATACTCCATGTTCAAGGGATATAACAGGTGATCTAAGACAATTCTCTTTAAGTGTATGGGGGAGATAAGCAAATGATGTTACAATCTACTATGACTTTTTCCATGAGGTTTTTTTTTTTTTTTTTTTTAAACCAGGTATCTTAATTTTCACCTAAACTGTATTTATTAACTCTGTCTTCAGAATTTCCCTCCACTATAAGTTCCTCTCTAATTCTATCCATCTTGGATCGTTCAGCCACATTATATGTATACCGAAAATATTAAATCAATTACTTATAACATGGCACCATTTTAATAGAATGACAGAGAAAAGTATATTCAAGAGATGCCAAATGTGATTCCATTCCATGCAAGGTTTATGTGAAGAATCAGGCCTTATTCTAATACTAAAGCAAATCAAGCTTAGAGTATCAGCACTGAAACATACAAGGTGGTAGACTGTTAAATGCCAAAATGAGTAGTAGAGCAAATGAATGCTCAGAAAAGAGAAAGATCAGTATAAATCAATTATATAACAGAGGTAAACACTGATTTTCTTATGACTTAATGTGGTTACTCTTGCATGAATGCAGGTCATTGATCATAGTGGAAAATAGAATGAGAAAGTGTGAATGATTCAACAGAACCCAACACCACTGAGAAAAGAATTGTTCTCTTCATCTACTGTTTTTAAAAGACAGAAGTCCTGTAGGGTAGTTAGTCTGTCCCGTCACAGTGCTACATTGTCCATTAACATACAGCCTCAATATGTGTGCCAGGCTGACTCTGAGTATGCTGGTGGATTAATTACTGACATTTATATGAAAGAACATGTGTAAATTCAGTAGTCGTATATATGCATGAAAATGAAGTTAAAATGTTTTTAAAAGATAGCTTATATATAGCAAATATATATAATTGCATTTTATAATTATTTTTATATGAAAATATTTCAACTTAAAAAATAAAATTTCCAAAATGAAAATTAAAAGGTATAGATATAAATGTGTTTCCAAATAAACTGATAATTTAAGTTATTTGTTTTTGGTCTGTGATTTAATGATGATCATTTTCTTTTGCAGTGGAATCAAATACATTGCCTTTCTCACTTAGTACTTTGAGAGGCAGCCTAATTCTAGGCTTTAGGAGGTAAGATGATCACCTTATATAATGTTCTTTACCTGAATATGGACTGATTTCTCCTGTCTTTTTGACCTATTGTATGAAGAAAGATGATATTCTTCTAAATCTTCCAATATACTAGTTACCTGAAATCTTATTTGTTTTATTCTTCCTACTAATTAGTTGAATGGAGTTCAAGCAGCTATTTTATTTTTTTCCAAGAAATACACACAGATTTGGTAAAGATCTTGTTTCAGAGAAGAAAGCACTGTTTGAAAATGATGAGTTGGAATTATAGACAAATTTGCATGTATGTTTGATTTATACTTTAAGTTTTTAATTACAAAGTGATTATCTTCATCATATTACTTTCTTCCTCTGTGCACTCAAGAGAATGTTAATGACCTTTCCCTCCCACTTTTGTTATTTTGAAAATATTCAAACACAAAAGTTGAAAGAATAGTGAACATCCATACACCCTTTATATAGATTTACCATTTTGATATTTTGCAATATTTACTTACTTTCTCGTACACTGTTTCTCTAATGTATATACACACATGCACATACATACATACACTTTTTTGCTGAACCACTTGAAATTGTAGATATCATACTGGATTCTTTAGCTTATAACTCTTAAGAATAAGGTCATCTATGTAATCCAGTACCAATGTCACTCCTAAAAAATTAACACTTCTATATCACCCAACATACATAGTCCCTATTTAGATTGTCCCATTTGTTCTAAAAATTTCTTTTATAGCTGTTTTGCTTTTTGATTGAGGATTCAATTAAGTTCATACATTCCATTCAATTACTGTCTCCATATTTTCTTAATCAAGAACAATTCTCTTAAACCTTGACACTGACTTTTTTTTTGAAGAGTTTAGGCTACTTTCTCTGTAGAATGTCCCCCTCACATTTTTATTTGTCTGACTTTTTTCTCATGATAGATTCAGATTGAACAGTTTTAGAAAGAATACTTTATAGGCGATAAGTATTTCTTATTGCATCAAGAGATATAATGTCAGGTGTCAAAAATTGGTGCCATCAGCTAAGTTTGATCGTCACTTGGTTATGGTAGTGGTCTCCATATCTCTCCCTTGCAAGGGAACCTCATCCTCTTTTCATTGGTAAGAATTCTGTGAGGCGATACTTTGAGAAAGTGTGTCTGCCTTGTTTCCTAGCACCTTTCACTCAGTGTTTTTAGCAGCTACTGGTAATCCTTGTTGAATCAATTGTTAACAGTGGTGGTTGCAAAAGGATGAGTTTCTAATTTTATCATTCTTTCTGTATTTATGATGTTAATGACTTCCAGTATTAACTCCAGTAATTTTTAGTCCGTTTGTTGGTTGGAGCGCTGGAGTTTTCTGTAGACATACTTGGAATCTCCACTGTAGGCAAGAAGAGGTAGAACAAGTAGGTGAGATTCTGTGTTGCTGCTCTTTCTTTAGTCAGTGCAGTTATATTCTTTTCAGTGATATGATAGTTTTGTGTGCAGTTAAAAAAAAAGAAGAAGAAATCAAAGTCCATGTCTTTAAAAATAAAGTTTGAAAAATACAGAGTACAGTCTATGGCCATGCCACCCTGAACAAGCCTGGTCCTGTCTGATCTCAGAAGCTAAGCAGGGTCGGGCCTGGTTAGTACTTGGATGGGAGACCACCTAGGAAGACCAGGTGCTGTAGGTGTAAAAAATAAAAAAATAAAGGGATCGTAAACTGACAAGGTCCTTGCAATCTGTGAGGTCAACCACAGGAAGGAAG